TCCTTGCCGGCCCTCTGCGTCCGTGGTTCCTGGACGAGAGGAAGCGCTGGGGCAGCATCGTCAGCAACAGTAAGGTCCACGACGGGACCACCATCGCCCACGCTGGGGACAGTAAGAGTACCGGCCTCACTAGCCGGAGAAGGGGAAGGAGCCCTCTTCGTCTTCTTAGAGACGCTCACGCCGGCCTCAGTCAACTTTTCCTGGCCGTCAGTGGCCGGTCTCTTTTTCTTTGATGGGGCAGGCTTTGGGGCCGCATCAGCAGTAGCCCCGCTCCCACCAGCAGCGGCACGTCGGGCCGCCTCGGCCGCCTTGGCAGCCAGCTCCTCGGCCGCCTTGGCCTTGGCAACAGCCATTATGGAACGTCGGTCCATGACAAAGTCTACAAAGGAAAAACAAACAGATTAGTAAGGCAAAGGACAAAACATAAAGACAGAAAGCCGAAGAAAAAATTACCATCGGCCTCAGCAGGAATGCCCAAATCCGGGCCATCGGCCTCCTCAAAGGTGGTGGTCATCCTCGGCCAGAGTTGGAGGTCATCCTCCTTATCCCCATACAGGTGATATCTGAAGAAGCCGAGGGCGGTCATCTTGTATTCAGTGACGTAATCTTTCACGCTCCTCGGCCCCCCTTCGAGGAAAGCCTCCACCTGAGCGTCCAAAATAGAGCTCTTCGGCGGGTCATGGAGATTGAACCTCCCGATATGGCCGAGAGAGGGGAACTCGGTGCCACTTTCACCAATGGACACAAACACGAACTTGCTCTTCCACCCATGAATGGACGTGGGCAAATCCGTGAAGCTCCTCTTCCTCGGCAGCTGTTGAAGAGTAGCGTAGGCCGCACAGTTCTTGTGGCTTCCTCGGCCGATCTGGTACAAGTTCATGAATAAGGCCGTGGTCGGCCTGAAGCCCAACTCCTCACACCGAAGTAAAAAGCCCACCATCAAGGAATAACTGTTCGGCGTCAGCAAGGCCGGAGGAAGCCCCACCATGTCCAGATACTCAATGACGAAAGGGTGAAGGGGGAACCTCAACCCCTTAGCAAAGCTCATCGGGTATACTCCAAAGTATCCCGGTGGCGGAAGTAGAACATGGTCCGTCGGCCTGGGTGCCCTAACCCGCCCGAACGGCCCCACGTACATTTGGGCGACAAGATAGTCGGCCGCACTGCTCTTCGGCTTGATCAGGAATATGTTGGTGAGGTCCAAGTAGGAGAGGCCCGGCCCATTCTTCGGCCTCCTCACCCTCTTCGGCTTAGCTGCTCCCTTCACGGCAGACACCGGCCTCGGGCACGGAACGGCAGCAGAAGTGGACGCCCCGTCCACCGCTCGGGACGCGCCTACGTCCTCACCCTCTGAAGAGGAGGCGGACTCCTCGTCCTCGCCCTCCTCGTCCATCAGCTCTCCGGATTTGTAGGGGCTCAAGCGCTCTATCTCCTCTTCAAACTCCTCGAGCACCTCGTAGTCAAGCGACCTCGTGGAGGGCTGGTCGTCGTAGGGGTAGTAGTCCTCGTTCAAGCTCTTCATTACTACTACTACGGGCTTAAGGAGAACAACTTAAGATCTAAAGGTGTTTAAACGCCTAACACTAGATCAACTACCTAGGAAGCAAAGTATGAAAAGCGAGGAAGATCGTGATGAACACTAACCTCGAACAACGAAGAACAACGAAGAACAGGCTTGGGAGTTTATCTCTCTAGAAAATCGGCCAGCACTTCGACAAATTCAGAATGCAAATGTGATTCCTCGTCGGAGGGGAAGGGGTATTTATAGACCCCCCACCAACGGTCACTACACGTGGCACTCTCCCAATGGCCACATCAACGGCCACCACGTCACCAACGGGCCAGGACCAACCCATATCAACGGCCCACCGGCAAATCAGACTCTACGGCCTACACACGCTCAACGGCTTTACAACTGCCAGCAAGCGCCCACAACGTCCCACTTACTCGTCAAGATCACAAATGCCAAACAATAAGAAGATGGCAACGGCCAGGTACGTAACGGCCACAGAACAAAGGGGACAAATAGCCCACAGCCTTCGGCTCCTCGTAACAACCCTTGATGATAACTCTCTACAAGTGATCTGCGCACAAGGGTTCTCCCACAGGGTTACCTTGGCCAGAAAATCGCCATGAGAGTTGGATTCAGGGGGACTACGGAGATGCCGCTTCGGCCAGGGACTCAAGCAACTCCTTCACCCCTCGCACTCCTCGGCCTGAAGCAGTGGGGGACTGGGGGACTACACCGGCCTCAACAAAACAAAGAGTATAAACAAGGTAACCACAAAACATGACCACATCATCCACACAGCACAACGGAACCTCATCGGCCAAAGGCCCAAAACGTCATTAGCGACGGCCAACAAGCCACTAGAGGCAAGGACACTCATCGTCCTCCGCCAACAATTAATTTTGACGGGCCCTTCGGCCAAGAACACGAAGGCCAACCAGCAACGGCCAAAAGGAGTGCGCGAGCACCCTCATCGGCCACCCAAAGGAAAGGACGCCATCGTCCTCAAAGCAAGGAACAACCCCACCGGCCCAAACATAAACTTCAACCACCAACGTCCAGGAAAGGGAAAGCGCGCCTTCAACGGCCGACATCGGAACAAGACACTCATCGTCCTCAAACGAATACGTCAAGGAAATGACGGCCTCCCCGCCCACAGCGAGGAGCAGGTAACGGCCAAAGCCCATAACAGGATCACCAAAATGGAAACAGCGCCAGTACCGCAACGGCTAACGGCCTGAAAATGCCCGCGTCGGCCAAAAGCACAAAGCACAGAAATCTACTCTCCTTCACTTCGCCTACGTCTCAGCTTAGAGTGTGGGGGACTCCTGATGGAGTATATGGGTCTGAGCCCCAGGACCCACATACTCGGAAGAACAGAAAGCACAAGACAACAGAGTGGCGCCCTCGTCGGCCAAGACACCCCCGTCGGCCGAGAAGAAGCCAACTCGGATTGTGGTCCTGAGTCCAAGGAACCCGGGTGCCCTCGTCGGCCGTGCCCTCGTCGCCCGTGCCCTCGTCGGCCGCGCCCTCGTCGGCCACGAAGACCTCCCAGAATCGGATTCTATACTTGCTCATTTGTACAGCCCATTAGAGGCTTTGTATTCGGCCCAGTAGCGGTCCAGTTGTAAATGGGCCTCCCAAGCCCAAGGCTTGGGAGCCCAACCCTAATTTTCTCTATAAATACTCCCCTTGGGAGTAGTTATAGGGGTTACAAATTCATTCTATTGAAGCATATTATTGCACTTATAGGGGGCAGTCACTGGCCGGTGGGGCGATAATACACTGGCCGGGGGTGACAACCACTCGCCAGAGGCAGTCATTGGAAATACACTAATCACTGCATTTTAGTCATACTTTTGGAAATATAAAAATAATTTATTTTTTTGTCTTTTAGCTTTAGTTTTGTAATATTAGGACAAAAGGTCTTTTAATTTTAATAATAGTAAAGAGGAATCAAAGCAAATTTCCAGAAAATTGTTCCTTATTCTTTTTTGGAATTACAATATTTAATACGTAGTAAGTGCATGAGTGCATCACTTTTCAGTTTAGCAAATAGTAACACATCAGATATAAGTATATAACAATAGTTTTTTTTTGATAATCCAGATGTCGAGGCTTACGCTCCCATAAATCCTGTAGTCTATGAACTACCCTCCAAAGCCCCTAGACAGTTAAATCCGGATCTGATCACAGTCAGCCTCGTCAGTACTGGCTCCAAAGGACGAATCCAGAAGGACTTACATCACCTTTCAGGCTGCTCCTCCCACCACACGAACCCGCTACCTTCATTACCATCCTCTCCCTTCTCAGCCGCTGAGCAACTCCGTGAAGGTAGGAAGAATCATTGGGAGCAAGACCTCCCTCATTTCCCCTTGGTGGGAATTGAACCCAAGACCTCCCACAAAGGAGAGACTTGGGGGTGGATGGTCATCCATTGGACTACACCCACCTTCCCCAGTATATAACAATAGTTCTTTACACATTGGAGAGTGTAAACGCCCATTTACAAGCTCAAATTGTCAGCGGAGACATGCAACTTTCAAATTTTTTTGTACTTTATGAATATGACGTGTATAAAAAAGGATGACGCTCCATCCCTGAGAGTCTCTAAGAATTGACTGGACAGTTAAATAAGAAGATGTAAATTGAACTTTAGTCACACTATGATGGAAATAAAATGGAACACTGGGGTTCCATCTCAAGTTATTGCTTGAAATTGAACACGGTACTTCTCTCTTGTGACACTCTCTTTCTACTAGGTAAGCTACACCCCTGGTATAAAAACTTATACTTCCATAGGGCATGTATAAGAGCTTATACAAAATGGGGTGTGTAAGATTTAAGAACACTTAAAATCCTTATACTTCGATAGGGCGTGCCGCGTGTATATAAACTTATACAAAAAGGGGCGTGTATATAAACTTATACTCCCTCCGTCTCTTTTTAGTTGCAACATTCCATTTTTCACGTTTGCCAATATACAACTTTGACCGTCATTATATTTAATTCCTTATTAGTAAAAATAAAATAAAATCATATTACAAAACTTAGTAATGAGATGAATTTAACAATATTTTTCAAAAAAAAATAATTCACATACATTAATAAATAAAATGTAGTCAAAGTAAAGTACATGAGTAGTGTATATATTCCAATGTTGCAACTAATGCGATAAGGAGGATAGTACAAAAAGGGGCGTGTAAACACACTTAAAATCTTATACTTTGTGGGTGCACATGGACAAAATAGGGCATGCATAAAAACTTATACAAAATGAAGCGTATAAAAATAATTTTTCTAGACTAGAATACTAGATATAAACACCCTTATTTTATCATTTTTCTTTTGTACTTCTACTTTTCACCTTTCAACTTTTCACCCTTTTTATTTTGTCAGTGCACAGAGACAAAAGAGGGTGTGTTAAACATAGTGAAGCATCTGACAAAAACGGAGTATTAAACAAGAAACATCATCAAACTTCATATGAGTCCTAACGGCTTATTTAACACCTCCTGATCCCGATTTTAGCTTACATGTCGATTTTTTGACTTGTATTTCAACCAATCTTAGTTAAATATTCGACATATGCCGTATAATGTATTCTAAAAAGATAGTCAGAAGTACGTTGAAACCGGGATTAAGAGGTGTTAAATATGTCATTAGGACTCATTTGATTGCTTTTTACAAGTAGAGGTATTTATATGACACTTTATTGAGTACATGGTCTTATGTGACTATTTCATAATAGTAGAAGACCTTATTTGACCATTTTCTCAACTTCAAACGTGAAGTTTTTGTTTATGAAAGCCTGAACACTACAGGTATGAGTTAACCATTCATACACGACACACTTACATATTAAGATCAATACAATTTTCCTAGAAAAGGAATAAAATCAAATGGGAAAAGTACACATGTGTGAGAAACTAACCGCCACAATGCACAAGAACATCTCAAGACTATACATCCCCTCTTCAGCAAGGCAAACCTTTACCGTTCAAATTTGAAGATGATTCTCACCATCAGGGCTCCTTTTCCATTCAGGCAACTTTTGAATGGCTTTTGCTGCAGCTACATTTGAATCTCTCTGATTAATTATTTCCTGAAGCGTCTGAACATTCTCTGATAGCTTCCCAGCATTGCAGTTGGCACAGTCGACCAATTTATTGGCAGTCTGCATGGCGGAGCACAGCTAGAACAAGCAGAGACAATGTCATGGTGAAGCAACAATGGAAGCTCAAAAACATGTAACAAGCTTTGTGGAGCCAGGGGGAGGAGCTGGGACTTTATGAGAGGGTGGGGCCTGACTGGAAATCAAGAATGTAATTCATTTTTAGATAAATTTCAATAGTGAAAAGTACTTCAGAAAAAATTGTAGCAAACTTTTCAGACAATTTTGTATTGTAGGTACTTGTAAATATAGATGCAAGGGTTAATTAAAGATAGCAATGTGGGCCTGGTAATGCCCCCCTCCCCCAGCTCTGCCTGGGCAAATACTAGATAGAATGATTTAAAAGGTCCAGTAATATACATGCACTTGAGTCATACTGCCATCCATAATAATTCATAAAAACTCACCCTCTCTGGCTGAGAGCAGTGCAAAATTATACAAAGACTATTAACATGGGCTGGGATGAAATTAATGTTCCTAATGGATTTCATCCATAATAAAATTAAATAAATAAAAAACTTTGGATTCAAATTTAATTCACGTTTCTTAAATCCATAATAAATACTCTCATAAAATTAATGGCTGGTTCAATATATAAACCAAACAGGGTAACACGGTTCAAAGGGAAAACATGAACAAAGTATCCGATCGCGAAGATAAAGATATAGCATGGCTTTTATATAGACATTACAGAGGAATTACACTTCCCGTCTATCTTGCTCCCTTATTGTAAGCAAAAGAGAAAACAGTAATTGCTGCAATTCTTCAGGATAATTAAAGATTTACGGTAGGAATCAAATTGTCCCTTACTTCAAGTGTGAGAGCAGTCCATGAATGGTCAGTGCCAGCAAGTGCTTCATTCAGCTTCTCATAGTTTTCCTAAATAAAAATAAGAAATTAGCATCATAGCTTAACTAAAAAAAAAATATAGCAGAACCAAATATAGGCGAGCATACATACAAGTATAGAGTTATGTTTACACGCAGACAGAAGTACAGAACACATTAGCACTAGCAATATCTTGTAAATAAGTATAGAACTATATGATAATAATAATGATAACAATTCAGTGTTTCTCTGATCCAACATTCCGACTTTGATATGCTATTCATTGATGCCGTAACTTACACACTGAGTATTAGACCTGTAGATACAATCCATCAACACTATCTGATATCCGTTGGCTTCTAAACAAGGTGTCCTTGTCCTACAAAAGTAATACACTTTATAATCTCTCTATACTGACCCCATCCCTAGCAACAATCAACTGCTATGGAGAGCGCATCCCACAAATTGACACATTTAAATCTGGTTTAAGGAGTGACAGCTCGTAAGAGATACAAAAAAACACTTTTATCTGCTTTAAAATCTGCGTTCTATATAGCCTAACAGTTTTTTACATCCTCATTATCTTACCTAGGGTAAAATTTATTCTTAAGGAGGTGAACCCCATAATCTAATAAACCATTACATAACATTTGGAAAATTGTCATAATGTCATTTCCAAGTCACACATATGATAAACCCATTGCTTGACTTTTCATAATATCAATTTTATTAACGTAGTATAGAATAACATTACACATGTACACAACTAAGGAATAAGAAATGTGCTTGTATGCATATTCTAGTACATCTAACTACAGGGTTAGAAAAAAACATTACGCAAGCAAAAACAAAAGAATGGTTTTTGTATACATGTGCATTGAGTTTTATGAGAACATATTCTAGCATAAAACTGATGGAACAGTCGAACACTATAATCTCCCAGGCTCATAAAAGGAATTAAGAAAAATTATACTATATCTAAGGATTTGAATGGAATCTACAAGAACATTTATTCAGATGAAGCAACAACCGGTATATACACATATAAAAACATGAAAAGGTGAATCGACTGTGAGTGATACGACACAGGCTGGGAAGGCACCTGAAAGAGCTTGGGGAGATCGGAAGGTCTGAAGCTGGTACTGGACTCTGAAAAAGACAGAGTCTTGATGTCACCGCAACTAGAGAGGTTGTCGCAGCCGGAGCCATCTTCTCCGACATCACTGAGCAGATCGCCTATGCACAACAAAGGGCCTCCTACTCCCCGCATCGCCATGCGCTTTCAATTCGAACCACGGCACCAGGTTCACATATGTGGGTCCTGCTAGGAAACAGAAATTGGGGAAGAAAATAGTCAAAATACTCGGATAAAGTGGGAACATGGGAGAAATTTGGAAGCAAATAAAATAAAGAGTTTTTTTCAAGATTAATGTTAATTAATTAATTAATTACGGAATTAATGTTGGGTTAAAACTATTTATCAATATATTGTTGGGTTCAACTCTGGTCGGGTGAAGTCGCCACACCGGATGGCGACTTATAAGTCGTCAAACCGTTTGGCGACTTTCCTCTTCTCAAATATGTTAACATCCAAACGTCCGGCGGTGAAAATCTGTATTTTTCGTCCTAAATCGATCCCGATTATCACAATTCACTGTTTGACATTCGATATGCATAACCAAAGACATCAACACATCATAAACAAATGAAAAGGTATAGATAGCACGATATCCATTAGTTTGCAAGTGAAAATACATTAAAAAGTAAAGTGTTTCTACAAAATTTGGTGTACATTATTTTGTCCAATAATATAGAAACTACAAGTTTTCATGGTCTTCTTGATCGTCTTGGTCATCAATTAGCCCTGAATCCGCCGACACCTCCATAGTGCCTACAAAAAGTAAAAGGTATGTTAGTCAGTAATTAATAAATAATTTTAAATCATTATTTTGTAATTCACATTACTATGAGTTGCGGAATTTAATAATTAAATACTTACGAAGTGGACCCCCCACCATCTCATGAAGATCTCTTCGCACATGTGGCTGTATTATGACCGGTTTGTTTACATATTTCGCATCTTACGGTTCCTCTGCCACCTTCATCCATCTCATTCTTAAGTGTGGACTTTGGTCGTCCCTTTGCACGAAGCATGGATGGGTCGTGCACAATTCGTGATCCATTGTAAGGCGGCCAATAAGCACGGTCGGGAATGAGTTTAAAAACTCTTTGATATGAAGCGGCGTATTGGGCAGATGAGAAAAAAGGATCCACAAAAGTATGGTAAGACAAACTACGTTGTCTACACACACCTAATACATGGGAGCAAGGAATCTTATATTCCCATCGTGCGGCCACCACATCTTGTTTCTACTTGGTATAGCCCTCGGCCTATATCAAATCCAGTGACAGTGTGTTGTTTGGCTTTCTCTTTATTCTTGTCAATGATGTCTATTATGTATGGGGAGTAGTTGTGACCTTCTGTCACGTCACTCTCCTTTTACTACTTTCACGTCTAGCCACAAAAAATGCATTGACGCGTTAAAAGGAAACTTGTACCAAAGTTGTGATGGGCAAGTATCGGGCACTTTTCATCAGACCGTTGAACACCTCAACCATATTAGACGTTGTGGTACTGTATCTATACCCCCCATCATGGTGTAATGACCGCATTTGTATAAGTCGTTCCTTCTTTCTCTTGCACTCTGCAATCCATTTATATTTATCTGACTCCAGGACACGATAAAACTGGTTGCGTTTGATATAATACAAGCTCACCATATTGATTAGTTGTTCTTTGTTGTCAAACTGTTGACCAACCGCAAACTCACTGTCTTGTGTGAACCTGTTCACACTTGTTCCACTCCTCCACCCATCATTAAAGCCGGATGGGAGGTCATATACTCTAGTATAGTGGCTAGACAGGGCAGTTGCGGTCACAGTATCACCATCATCTTCATCATATTTTTTTATGTCATCATCAATGATGTTATCATCAGCATCATCACCAGTTCCCTGGCCATCCAAACAAGATGCACCATTGTGTAAATACCTCCCTTCATCCACATTCCCGTGACAGCTTCCTCATCATCAAGTGGCATAAGCATGTATGATCCCCCGTGAAGGGGATATTTAATTTTCAATCGCAAAGAACGGCTCGGAGGAATTTGCGTAGTTACATGGATTTTTTGCAGCATCTCAGGCAAACATGTGACACGAGAAACAATTACAAACTTGTTGCTCCCACCTTCATAGCGTATTTAGCATGCTTCCTCAAATATGTTCCCTCCCCAATGATACACAATTGGAAAGTTGGAAAATCCATATTCTAATTACAATACATGTCCAAATTTCATGAGTACGCATTAATACACACACTTTATACACCCAAATCAATCATTTCGTACACATAACAACATATTAAAAACTATCATATTTAACCAAATCCTATAGGATTAGTATACACCTAACAATGCAAAAATATTTATAAAAAAATCAAAAAATTGCATTAACATTCACTTCAATAATACACAACAAATCCACAACAAAATCAAAATATTACATTTAATTCAACATGAACACTCAACATGTCAAAAATATCCACAGTTCACAACAAATCAATTCACAAATCAAATCTTAATCTAAAAATTCGAAATTTTTACCTAACTTCAATTCCAAACCCTAACTTCAATATGAGATGAAATGGAGTTTGATTTACCTAGAAGAAAGAGTGTTGAAGAAGATGGAGGTGGAGAATCCTTGGCAAGGTGACGTCGCCGGAGAGTAGCTCGAAGAATCGCCGCAGAATAGCTCCAAATCGCATGTCTATGGGGAAATTTTTGTTTTGTCTGACGAAGCCGGGCGACCTGTCTACAAAGTCGCCAAACCGTTTCGCTACTTATAAGTCGCCAAACCGTTTCGCTACTTATAAGTCGCCAAACCGGATGGCGACTTATAAGTCACCAAACCGTTTGGCGAATTTGTCTGACCAGAGTTAAACCCAGCAGTATATCGGTAGTAGCTTTTAACACACCCCCATTTTCGTAATTAATTAATTAATTAACATTAATCCGGAAAAAACTCTATAATAAAGTACATACGTGTGATTTCACTTATTTGTCATAATTTTGGGGTGCTTTCGAGTCGAATATTTTGTGACCATATTCTCCATAAAGTGTAGTTTATGTCCACCAAAATTCATCTTAAAGTTTAATCAAGAAGTTAGTTAACTAAATTATTAAAAGAAACTCGATGTTTTATGTATACAAAACCTCCCAATTTTCAAAAAAAATATTTAGGTGACTTACGGATTGAATTTAAAACTAAAATTTGGCATACATAATTTAGACTTCATGGAGAACATTCTCATAATGTTTCATCAAAAATATCATCCCAAAGCATCTCAACTGAAAAAACCCTAAAATTATAAGTCTTAGGCTACATCAATAATTGAAAACAATAATCCTAATTATTCACAATAATCTCAATTATTGGTCTATTCACAATAATCTTAATTATTGACTATTTCTATATAATCCCAATTATATAGACCGTTCGCTAATAATGATCCATGACTAAACATATTCTATAAATATTCTATAGCACTCGTCCTTCATTTAATAATCTCAACCATTAACTAGATTTTTTACAACAAGTGGAAAAAATTATTTAAAAATAAAATTTTGAATTTTTTAAAATGAAAGTTTAACAAAATATAAAAACGTATTGTGTTTCAGAAATAAAAAATATTACATTTTGTTTGTTAATTTCAGAAAAAATTGTAATATTTGAAAGATAATTTCTTTTGGACTCTTTTACAAATTCATGATTTTGATTGACTTCTAACTAAAATTAAAATGATTTCTTATTTTAGGATGATTAGCTTTTAATTATTTGTTATGATTAGAAAAAAGTATTACTATTTTTTATTTTATGCATTACCTTGATTTTAAAAATCAATGTTTTCTTTTCTTTTCTTTGAATTTGAACTTAATTTGCAATTTCATTTTTCATTTAAGGTTTTTATATTGACCTTTTTACTCTATTTATTTACATATTATGTATTCTTTATATATTTATAATACCTTACATATTATAAAATTTTAATTTTGAAATTATATAAGTTTTTTCATATTCTATTTTTATATATTTTATATCCTTTAATTCCATAAACTACCTAAAAAATTAGTTAAATATAAATTAATATTTATAATCTTTATCTTTTATTTATTTATTTATGGAAGTTTTGATTTACTTTTTAGGACTACAAAAAAATTACTTTTTAGGTCTAACGAAAATTGATATATGTATAGTTCGGATTATTATAATGCAATTTTTTTTAATTGACTGGATACGTAAGTCACGTTGGACCATTTATAGGTCTTTACAGTTGGAGTTGTTTTGAATAGACTGTCAATAGTTGAAATTATTATTATTATTATTATCAGTTTTTTGAATAAATAAGTAACTAGATAAATTAAGTTACCCTGTTCTATGTACTTTTAAATTGGTTTTATCTTATTCCCTCGTTGTCTTTGTACTATGTACTTTGAATTGGTTTTGTCTTATACTCTCTTTGTCCCTTAACTACTTGCATATTTTGTTTTTCGTTTATCTCAAAATTGTTCTAATAAATAATGTGTGATACGTAACATTTCTCACACTTTCTTACACATTTCTCTTTCCTTTGCATAACTCTCCACCACATAATTCTCACTGTTTTAGTCCTCGTGCCGTTTGTACTTTTAAGATAAATTTGGGACGGAGGGAATATCTAATATGAAATTGTGAATCAATTAGAATTGATGAAATTCTGGCGAAATTGAGTGAAATGTGGAAAATTAGATTTAAAATATATTTATTAATAAATTAAAGAAAAATAATTTCAGGCTTACTTGGTTCACTTGTTATAGATTTAGGCGTACGAAACAAAAATTTGTGTATTTATTAAAAGAGTTGATTAATAAGCTGAAAATGAGGGTAACCAAACGGCCACACAATTATAGAAGTTTACTACTACAATATTAACCAAAAAATATTGATGTAATAACTCTACAAATGTAGTGTTGTCAACAAAAAATTACTACGTTAAATAAAAAGTATTGCGTAATAGAATTTATATTACTGTCTTGAACTTACTACAAATAACTAACTTTTTCAAAGAGTGGAAACTAAATTAATGGCCACTTATACACTAGAGTTATATAAATGATTTTGAATTGATAAAGTGTTAAAAAACAAGAATGAATTATAATCATACAAGTATTACCAATTATGATTTGAGATAAGCATAGTATGGCGACTAAAAATGAAAAAATGAAACAA